TCTATACATAGCAAGCGAGTGTAGCGATATACATAGCAAGCGAGTGTAGCGCTATACATAGCAAGCGAGTGTAGCTCTATACATAGCAAGCGAGTGTAGCGATATACATAGCAAGCGAGTGTAGAGCTATGCATAGTAAGCGAGTGTAGCGCTATACATAGCAAGCGAGTGTAGCTCTATACATAGCAAGCGAGTGTAGCTCTATACATAGCAAGCGAGTGTAGCGCTATACATAGCAAGCGAGTGTAGAGCTATGCATAGTAAGCGAGTGTAGCGCTATACATAGCAAGCGAGTGTACCTCTATACATAGCAAGCGAGTGTACCTCTATACATAGCAAGCGAGTGTAGCGCTATACATAGCAAGCGAGTGTAGAGCTATGCATAGCAAGCGAGTGTAGCGCTATACATAGCAAGCGAGTGTAGAGCTATACATAGCAAGCGAGTGTAGCGCTATATATTAAGTAACGTAGCCCTATTATCGTTACTAGATAATTAATGTGGGCCATTTCATATTCAGCTATTACCTGGAGTTTACCTGGAAAGAGAGGGTTTCGGGGGTCAACGCCCCCGCGGCTCGGTCTGAGACCAGGCCTCATGGTGGATGAGGGTCTGATCAGCCAGGCTGTTACTGCTGGCCCCATGCAAGCTGACGTAAGAACCACAGCCCGGTTGGTCAGGTACTTTAGGTGCCTGTTCAGTGCCTTCTTGAAGACAGACAGGGGTCTATTAATAATCCCCTTTTATGTATGCTCCTATGTAAGGTATATGCTAATGTCATTATAGATGTCCTGGGAATGTATCACATGACTCACGAAATCGTAATGACACGATTGGTAACGCGTCGGTCTGGAGTTTTAAGACTCTCTGATCGCGGGTTCTAACTCCACCCGTGGTATGGAATGTATCACATACTTTATACTATTTATCTGTTGATGCGCATGACTTTGCAATATATTTATTAATTTATTCAATGGTTCAAAAAGGCACATGATAATTATGGACATACCTTGGTTGTAAATTAGACATATTTAACTCAGGACAATCCAGCAAAGCCAGAGTAACTTATTTCCGTTCGATCCCTTATCTGTATTATAAGAGAGCATTTAATATATATCTGACTCCTCAGTTAACAACAGTCCATACACGAGTGTTGCACCTGGGGATTTTTGCAAATTAATTTAATAATAAACTAATCTTCGCGAGTTGACAAACCAGACAGGACCGAAACGTCGTCTAAAGTTTCCTATCCAAATGGTAAAATGTTTAAACCAATATATGGTGACTTATTCTTGTGAAATTTAAACCCCTCGTTTCCCCGTCTTCTTGATCATCCAAGGAACACCGTCAGAATGCTACGAGCGAGAATCTTCACACTCAAGGAACACCGTCAGAATGCTACGAGCGAGAATCTTCACACTCAAGGAATACCGTCAGAATGCTACGAGCGAGAATCTTCACACTCAAGGAACACCGTCAGAATGCTACGAGCGAGAATCTTCACACTCAAGGAACACCGTCAGAATGCTACGAGCGGGAATCTTCACACTCAAGGAACACGTTTAAATATTTTTTTATTATTTACAGCAGGGGTGGGGGAGTCTTTTTTTCTGCCGAGCGCCATTTGGATATTTATGTCGTTCGTTGGCCATTCAAAATTATCAACTTAAAAATAAGCCTATTATGTTTGGTCAAACATTTAATTAACTCACGCACAATGTGATGGATGGAACTGCTTCTCTCTGTTGAGATGTGTGATGTTAACTGGTATTGATGATGTTACTCGCAGCTGCTTTTCCAGGTTTGTGTCAGTCAATCTGAAGTGTAGTCGACTCTTTGCGTTGGTAAGCTAAAAGGTTTCCTTCATAATTCTGCATAGTTATTTGGATTTTAGGTTTCGTATTTTTTTTTTCATTATACAGGGTTAATCGGTATGGGAAAGGGTTAATATGAATTTATGTAGCTATGAAAAAAGAGCCTAGATTTATTGAATTTCTAGTTCCGCTTGCGGTTGCCTCGGCAAGGTCAGACCAAATGATTTCGCGGACCTTGTACGGCCCGCGGGCCGAACGTTCCCCACCCCCTGTTTACAGTATCAAGAACAGAGCTATACTCGTACGGAACCATCTTCCGTATCTGGTCTATTATAAAGCTTCTGAATAGTTTCCAGTGACTGAAGGTCTTCCCCATTTCAACCATCCCGAAAAAAATATAGAAAACTGTTTACCTCTGTAACACCAATATGAAATTAGATGTGTTTGGTCACTGCGCGATCCGAGAAAGGCATCCCTATAATGCGTAGTTGAATCACCCTGAACCTCAGTGCACGCACAAGTAATAATGAAGAGTGACCAGTATCCTGAAATACACCAGCACATTAAGTCTGAAGTAGCTTAGAATTTGGATAATCAGGTCATCAGCGATGAAGGGTGAAAATATACACCAATAACCTGCGTGGTCCAAATCAGACTGAAACGTCATCATAGCTTCTTCCTTCTATGTGCGGGTTATTTATGTATTGTTCCAGTCACGGTATTGTGCCTTTTTGTTCATCAGGGTGAAATTAATCGATTGAAACACTCGAGAATTATGGAAAGGAATCAAGTATTTTTTTTTCGGTTTCAACTTTTTATATAAAAAAAAAGGGAAGCTTGGTGCATACACAGACCAAAAATTAATCATAATTTTTATCTAAGAATAAACAGCGTTTAAAATTGAAATAACTGATAGTGAAGTAATTAACAAGATTAACTTTAATCACATTACATCCAGTTTTATTTTACGATGGTCTTGAGGGAACACAGATGTTTTGTGTACAATATGTAGATTTAACCCAGGACAACACAACGTCAAACACTCTGACATATTTCTGATCAGAAGAAACATTCTTCAGTCGTTTCAGAACACAATTTTATTAATGAAACTGCCACATTAAAACTTCCAATATCTAAAATTAAGATGGAGCTTCTTTTGGGAAAACTATAAGTACAAAAATTGAAAGTTGACTAAAAGAGGCAGTCTCCATTTATTACATAGAATGCAACAAAATTTGTTCCTTCTCACCATAAACCATATAATCATTTCATCATTTTAATTAGATGTCTGTTATTAATGAATTTTATTAATAAAAGGAAAACGCTAAATAAGATCAAATAGTCCCTGTGGAAGGTGTTCAGATTCAACACATTAAAGGGTAGGGATAGTCCAGTTCCTAAGATCAAGAGCCTCTCATTAGGAACAAGGTAAAATACTGTAATAAAGAAAATGATTCTATACCTTTTTGAAATTAAAAGTGAGAAAATGGCCCCAGCAAACTTCATTAATACTATCAACCTTTATTTAGATAGGATAAACGAGAGTTGAAATTTTGAAAATGGTCAAAGGAGGATTTTCAAAATTATCTTTCGGAATCTAATTTCGTGAATGGTCTATATAATACTGAGCGAGAGGAAGTGCACTTGTCAATCATTCCACCAATATTAACTTAGTAATAGTTGACCAAGGTTGAAAGTTGACCAAGGTTGAAAGTCTGAAGCCGAGCGAGAAGTCATTCTGAAATCATAAACTGTACCAGACTGTGATGGATAAGTGGGTCAACGGGACACCAGCAACAACAGCCTGATTGACCAGGTAAGCGCCATACTAGCCTGGCCCAAGGCTAGAAAAAACTCAAGAAACTCATCAAAGGCAGATGTTTACCTAACAATGTGCCTGTCAGACCTTCAGTCTACCATAAGTTATGGCTTCACTATATATCTGAAAATTAAAAACGCAATGAAAACAAGTTTTCAGTATTTCTCAGTTTTTGCAGTTTTTTCCTATTTAAAATTCTCTATAATCCTTTGAGAATAGGAATATTAGATTGTGTTTTTTAATTCAGTTTGATAAATATAAAATTTGTGAACTGGTACATAAAAAACCCATATTTAATAAAAAATACTTCCCATTAAGACACACGAACTCTTAAGTGTTTAAAGCAGACTTGAGGCTTAGTTCAAAGTAAAGTCAAAACTTTTTTTTAATAAAGCCTATGAAAAAACTATTCTCCAACAATTGTTCTGACTCTAACGATTCAGAGTTTTTTAATAATTTCATTGAAATTGAAATTTTTATAGTAAAACGGTGTAAACCTGTAGTGTTTTGCTTGATGGAATGAGCTAATATTTTGATGTCGATAATGAACATCGACAATATGTACTGACTGGAATCAGTGATCGCTATTTGTTTAATAAAATCGGCAAAGTGGAGGTTATGGAGCCCAGTAACAAATCTTTGTGGGCTGAAAATTTTATGCTGATAAGAAGAGAGATTTTCCAATTACAACATGGATGCCAACTATTCCAAGTTTTATAAACTAAATTTAGTTCATTGACAGATTTTCCAGCACACTAATTAAATTTAATGGGGTATAATCCGGGCATGAATAAATGTATTATCCATTAAATTTTGAAGCCATTCAGAAGAGGTTGGCGCATATATTTAACTTGATTTAATGGGAATCAAAATTTCCCACTGTTTTACACGTAAAATTAGCTGTGTTCACCTACACTTGAATTTCAGTCTCCGCCGTCACCGAATTAGGAGGCATCTTGTTTGAACAATTAAAGATACATCGCAAAAGATTTTGAAAGTTAGTGGAGCCATTCCAGGATGCTGGAATGGGTCCTCCAACTTTGGTCATAGAGCACATCACTTATTCCTAGAAGCTTGGCCTAGTTACCGTACACCAGAGTTGAAAATTTGAAAACGATTGGATGAAGTCTACTCTTGTTATGAGCGAAATACACAAAGTTACAGATGAAGTCAACAATTCTGGCAACAGCTTGAAGATCTTCGTTAATTAGTAATTGTTCCGTGTTCTTGACTGATACGTTGCAGACAAAATATGAATGTAACTAAGTAAGTCGAGTGGAAATTAACAGAATACGGTCAATGGTAACATAAAACAGGAAGGAAGAAGTGTGAAACATGCCATATAAGATACAAACAATGGTACACTTACCTCGGTGCCCAGTTTGCGCCAGCCTAACCCAGCAACGAAGGCTAAAGTCAGTACTAATATTGGTCCAGAACTTTCCAGTTCAGCCTGGGAAAATGAGATTTTTATAATACTAAAACTGATAAAGCCTGTAAAACGATATTGAACTATGGGATACACAAAATTTTCCTAACCAAAATAAATAGCAACAAAAAAGCTTTATGCTTACAGTAACTTTCAATCAGATTTTTGTTATATAACCATTAACCATAGAATATATACTCTAAGAGTTATATTTCTCTCAGCGTATATATCCTAAGAGTTTACATTAATCCCAGTTTTAGGAATTAAAGTTTTCGTGTCTGGCAGTAAAATGATTATATACATCGTTAATTATATTACATAATCTATTAATTAATTATGAGTTAGATGGACAATCATTCAAGTGTACACCAACTAACAGATAGTAATGGAAGCAGAAAGTCTACCCAGCATACGAATAACTGGGAAGGGCGAAGAATCAGAAAAAAAATGAAATACTTTATCGTGATTTTCAGAGGAAACACTTCTAAGTTTGAGTGAAGTGTGTGAAACAAGTGGTAGAGGGCACTTGAGACTAACAAGACTCAGTACGGAAACACAACATGTTGAGGAGTTCATTGGAAGAATTTTGGTTAGGCCACTTCGGTCAGCCTCCTGCGCAAGATGACAAGTGATGTCACATGTTTGGTTGATGGAACATCCTGGCACGTAGATTTACCAAGAGACATCATGGAAAACTATCGCGGTTCTAATGCTACCTCTGCAGTGGGACAGATGGTGTGAAGCTGACGAATATGCGTGTGGTAGGGACAGATTTGTGGACTCGTCTATGAATCTATGGATCCAACTGAGTGCGTGGGGGGCACACCATGTTAGTACTCAAAAAACGCCCATCACCATAATTCGGCGAGTTTCAACCTATTACGATATTTCATATAGTGGCAACGAGAATTCAATGGAGTGGTGATATCTGGTCTCGCTACATGGGTTCACTCCATCCTGCCAGAGAACATTTCTCCCTACTAATGGATTAGCATTAAATGTCATACTATTATGCAGTTATAAATGAGAGAAAGAAACGTTTGAAAACTCTATCAGCTTTTCTTTCAGGATATTCAAATCACATATGATTAGGTTAAGTACTGGACAGTGCGAATATTATAATGGTATACAATACTGACAAGTTGATATATAAGATGTATGTTCAACAGTTAGATATCCTTATTCCGAAACGTTTCGCCTACACAGTAGGCTTCTTCAGTAGAGTACAGAGAAAGCAGAATAAGCATTAGAGAGGTGAAGATGATGTAATCAGTCCATCACAGTTGAAATCGTAGTTTTGGGGTGATCATTTCCTCAGCCTGGAGAAGTTTCGCTCCTTAGTCTGGAACAATGTGAAGCTGAAGCAACACTATGGAGTATGGAGACATATGCTGTCAAAGGTGAGGCGCAAATAATCTTGAGAGGCGGAGTCCATGAGCATAAGTAAGAATATAATCATTGAGAGGACAGGTCCCTCTCAGTTCCATCCCTTCTCGCTTGTAACTAGTGGCCACGCAAAGAGGTTATTGAAAATGTTTTCTGTATCAGGATACCGATGTGTTGCAGTGCTCTCACATTGTTCCAGACTGTGGAATAAAACTCTTCTCCAGGCTGAGCGACTGACCACCTCAAAACTACGTCTTCAAGGGTGAGGGACTGATTACATCGTCTTTACATTTCTACTGACTGTGCTGCCTCCTCTGTACTCGAATAAACAAGTCTATTGTGTAGGCAAAAGCGTTAAGAAATAAAGATGCCTAACTGTTGCACATTATCTTATCTACTGGACAGTACACATGACTTTACTTAATGATCGAGCCCCTAAAGTTTTGTGGATTATATTTTGTCCACCTATGATGGAACCGCTTAAGTAGTTCACGGTAGACGTGGTCTTATAAATAGGTTGTTGAAACACAGAGATCCTCTATCGTATGCGCTGTTAATATGCAGTTAAACGAGGCTACAAGTGTCATGTCGTTGGCCTTTGCCGACGACATAGTTTTACTGATGGAGACCGACACGGGCCTTCCTACCCAGTCGAATTTCTTCACTCAAAATTTACCTGAATACGGGACTAAGAACCAAATCTGCAAAAATGTGATACCATGAATATGGAAACAGTACCGAGAGAGAATCAGTGGTATGTGAATAATATTAATTAAACAGATAATAAGAGCCCTATTTAATCATTGAAGGTCATGGATATACTAATACGAAATTAAATGTATCTCTCTCGTCGTCAGGTAGAGGCAAGCCTTTCCTGGATAAGTTGGAAGAAAAGCTTAATAATTTAGATCGAGCACCTTGAAGCCCCAGCAGGAAATGCCGAGTATATTATATATATTGCATTTTCATATGATTCATGGTATAATCCACATTTTCTGGCTGGGAGAAAGCCACAGTTACAACTTATAAACAGCAGATTAGTTGCTGCGCCATAAAATTTCTAAATATTCTCATTGTGCAAAGTGGATTATTGTGTGTGAGTCTCGACCAGGGTAAAAGACATTATGCATACAAGGCGGGAGGAAGTTAAAGTTTGACAGTAGTGCTTGGTGTCATCATTGGACGGAGGTGACGAACACGAACATTGGATAGCACCACTGGTCCACGACTAGGCTAGGAATGATACAATACTGATGAAAAATGAAGAGTTTATCTATGCCTTTCAAATAAAATAAAACCTCATGGTTATGAAACTGAGAACTATACAAGACGTATTAACTTGACTCACGAAATCGTAATGACACGATTGCAACAAACCATAGTCACGGGTGGGGATAGAACCTGCGATCAGAGACCTGATCGCAGGTTCTATCCCCACCTGTGGTATGTTTTTTTTAAGACTAGAAAACGTTGAATGTGTTTGCGTGACCAGGGTGAGACGATAACCAGCGAGTCAAAAGGCACGATCGTGCAATGGAGTCTGTTGCAAATGATATTTATGCAAAGGATGTGAAGTGTTAAAGAAGAGAAGCTTTATTAAGAACGGTTGATGAGGAACGGGGGCTAGAATTTCTTTACGAACATATATTGAACAAACCCAATATTCTGGATATTAAAGTTGGCAGTGACTCCGATATCTGAAGTACAATACTCCAATATAAAAGCAAGGTCGATTATTATGACACTGGTCAGAGTAAGAAGCGGGTGGTAAGTTGGGCGATGTAACATAGGTACCAGGGTGTAAGTCGACTGTTGTGGGTAGCATCCTAATTAATGGTAGTATACCTTAGATAGGGTTGAACTTTAAATGAACTGAGGCAGGATAACAGCTCTTAGCCTGTAAAATTTATTTGTGTAAACAAAAAAAGTTTTGTTAACTACCTGTTGATAATTAGAAACAAGACTTCGGTTTCAATACAGTCGTTCAGCGATGATGACTCACGAAATCGTAATAACACAACCTCACTGGCCTGTGCCTTTTAGGACTCCCATGTCAAGGGTTCAAGCCTCACATATTCCGTAATTTGTCCAGCTATGTTATGTTACCTCCCATTTTCCTTGAGATTATTACAGGTGCTGTTATCACATAGCGTAGAATTGTGTCCTGCTTTATACCGTATACTGAGAAATGCCTTGGGCCTTAATGTGTTAGATATTGTGCTACACGTGGTGTAGACATCAGGTGGAGACATCGGCAGATACATTATAGGCGAGGGGCTGTTGAGCCCAGCTGACTGATATCACAATCAAATTTTGTGGGGGTTTGACGAACCGTCCATTATTAAACGTCCCTGGCTAAGAATAATAATGCCCTCCAGTTACCCCATATACAGTATTTAAGCATCAGGTATTTATATTTTTCTTGTTTGTTCCTGCAGGAACACTCAGCGCAGGTGGAAAACTTAAAACGTGTGAGCTCTGGTTTTCACAATGAAATTCCCAGATTGTTAAGTTGAGTTTCCTTCCTCACTGAAATTCTGACACGTACAATAAAATCAGTACACAGAAAGGCAATTACAAATTTACATCTAGTATGATCTGCAGCCTCAGTTTACAAGTATATTTTAATTAAAGGATCATTAGTGAAGAATTATTTTTTTATCAGCTATTCCGTTCTCTAAAGAAGTTAACAATGTATTATATTTACATATTTTTCTTCAATTCTTACTTGTATGTGAAGGAACTTTACAGCTTCGTTATATTAATATGTTATGAGCTTCAGTATATCATGACAAAAATCAATGATACCCAGTAATATACATGACAAGATATGAAAGAAATTATTACGTACCCTATGGCTGCCAAAAATGGCCAGGGCGCTCAGGCTGAAGATGATGACAAACTTGTATGTTGATCGATTTGTCTTTTCTTTATAAGGTATACCATTCGTGTACAACCTGTCAGACACTGCAACATCATGGTATCTTGGTTCTAAGGGTATCTCCACAACCTCCGTCACTAGTACTAACCAGTCGCTCGGGTATGATCTACTCCCACTGAGGAAATCCGCCTGCCAATGACAATGCCTTCGTTTGTTGCCCGTCCCTGACCACCTGACGCCAGTATATAAGCGACAGCCTTCTTGCCTCTGCTCCAGATTCTTCATGACTACGGTGCTCTTCACTTCAAGGCTGAGGGAATGATTACCCCATCTATTGTACATAGTTCTATTTTCCAATTATGTCCTTGAATTTATGTTGATAAAGACACTGGAGGGCGAAACGTTTACAATAAAGATACCCAGATATTGCACATGTGTCTAATTTTCATCAAGTAACTTGGTAAATTATAAGGAAACGAATATTACTGATGCATGTAAGGGGGTTAACTCATGTTGTTCCGAAAATATGCTGAACACACTGAGCCAATAAGGAATACTACAAAGTCGTTAACTTCACTGATGTTTACCACTGCTCTGGACTGTTTTAGATCCTTACGTTTTATGCAAAGAGGAAAGCATTTAAGATACTTGATTCCTTGGAGGGTCGTTTGAGGCTAACCATAAACTCGCAAAATCCTGTCTGGTTTGAATCCGATTCCTGCATAAAACTATTCCAAAATAATTTATTTATTTTTTAATTACAAATGACCACAGGTTTTGAGGCCAATTAGGCAGCTTCAAATTGTGCTTAAATCCACACATGAACTCATGTGAAGGACACCAGGATACCTTTAAAATGGAAAGAGGGAGACATTGAAGATGTTAACCTGCCTTTGGGTGATTACAGTGATCTTTCAATCCATGAATCAACTATGCATTTGTTTGCTTCCGTAGTCCTCAAGTTTCCCAAAATTACTGGAAAGGTTTGTTACAAATGCCGAAAATTAATGAACCCCGTATTAGACATCACAGACAGGGGATACATACTGGTATAGTGATTGTCGTGATGAATGGTTTGAAAATCCGACAAGTGATTGTCGCCATATTGTTTTCATCCTCTGAAATTTCCGTGTGTTAACTTGTGAATACTACTGATGGTCAACTTCAGACTTTAAACAACGGTGTATTGTATACTGAGCAAATCTTGGAGTGTAACTAGGCTATGAAGGGTGTGATGAATGGTTTGAAAAAACCGACAAGTTGAAGATTGAGATCACTTAATGCAACATATGGGAATCTTTATTCAGGAAACGTTTCGCCACACAGTGGCTTCATCAGTCCAAAACAAAGTAGAAAGGCGTGAGGAGAGGAGTAGTTTGAGGTAATCAGTCCCTCAGCCTGGAGTCGATGTGTTCAGTTCATCAATCTTGTAGAATGTACAGCATAGGGCCGTAGACCATTCATCACAACTGTCAGACATTGCAGCATCATGGGATCTTGTTACAAAGAATTCTTCAACACTTGTCCAACCTTTGGACGAAGACCTACTTCGACTAGTGGATGGTACCACTATGACCCCGCCTCCACCTGCTTCACCTCACCTCACTACAGTATATAAGCCACGTCTACGGCCCTATGCTGTACATTCTACAAGATTGATGGACTGAACACATCGACTCCAGGCTGAGGGACTGATTACCTCAAACTCCTCCTCTCCTTAAGCCTTTCTACTTTGTATTGGACTGATGAAGCCACTGTGTGGCGAAACGTTTCCTGAATAAAGATTCCCATATGTTGCATAAGTGTCTCAACCACCTTCAGGCTATGAAGGGGATGATTTTCAAATTTTATGCAATGCCCTGTATTGCACAAAATTTGCAATAACCTGTGAAGGTTGTTTTTGACTGGCTTCAAACTTTTAACACTACTGTAGCATAAATTTCAAAATAAACAACAAGGTTCGCAAAAAGTCATTTAGCAAGAAGTCATTTAAAATTAATTACTTTTTTAAATTGTCTCTTATACGTTTAAAAATATATATTTTTCATTTATGTTAATATAAAAATTAATGATTTTGTACCAAAAGAACCTTAGGAAACTTACCTAACCTTTTTATAACAAGCGCAATTTAATTTAGCGTAATCCAACTAATTATATTTTATATAAGTTTACGATAATTTAACAAACACAATGAAATATATATTTTTCGTTCGATTCAAATTGATTATTGTGAAATTATGGCATACACAAATTTTTGTTTGCCCTAGTTGCCAAGAAGTGCTTTGCTATATATTGGGCACGACATTAATATATATATATATATATATATATATATATATATATATATATATATATATATATATATATATATATATATATATATATATATATATATAATGTCGTGCCGAATAGGCAGAACTTGCGATTTGGCTTAAATAGCAACGCTCATCTTGCCATATAGGACAAGTGAAATTTTGTGTTTGCAATAATTTCGCCAAAATCATTCTGAACCTAACGAAAAAAAATATATTTCACTGTGTTTGTTTAGTATTAAATTATTGTAAACAAATCTAAAATATATTTAGTTCGGTTAGGCTAAAATAAATTGTTCTTGTTATAATAAGGTTAGGTAAGTTTTCTAAGATTCTTTTGGAGCAAAATTAAAAATTTTTACATTAAAATTAATGAAAAAAATATATCTTTAAACGTATAAGAGAAAATTTTAGAAAGGACTTAATTTCAAATGAGTTCTTGCTAATTGACCAGTTTTACCTATTCGGCACGACATATATATATATATTCGTACCGAATACGTAAAACTTGCTATTTTGGCTTAAATAGCAACGCTCGTCTTGCCAAATAAGGCAGAATTCGGCAGAGCGAAAATTTGTGTATGCAATAATTTCGCAAAAGTCATTCTGAACCTCACTAAAATAAAATTATTTCGTTGTGTTTGTTTATTATTAAATTATCGTAAACTTATTTAACATATTAGTTGGATTAGGCTAAATTAAATTGCGCTTGTTATAATGTTAGGTAAATTTTCTAAGGTTCCTCTGGTGCAAAATTATTAATTTTTACATTGACATAAATGAAAAAATATGTATCTTCAAACGTATAAGAGAAAATTTTAGAAAGGACTTAATTTCAAATGGTTCTTGCTAATTGACCAGTTTTACCTATACGGCACAACTCTCTCTCTCTCACTCTCTCTCTCTCTCTCTCTCTCTCTCTCTCTCCACCCACACACACACACACACCACTCCACACACACATTCCACACTCTCACACCACTACACCCACACTGACGTGTATAGTATGCAAAGTCTTGGAAAAGATTATCAGGAGGAGAGTGGTGGAGCACCTGTAGCGGAACAAGATTAAAAACGACAGCCATCACGGATTCATGGAAGGCAAATCCTGTGTCACAAACTTGCTAGAGTTTTATGACAAGGTAACTGAAGTAAGAAATGAGAAAGAGGGGTGGGCTGACTGCACTTTCTTGGACTGCAAGAAGGCCTTCGACACAGTTCCTCCCAAGGGATTAATACAGAAGCCAGAGTACCAGGCACGTATAACAGGAAGGGCACTGCAATGGATCAAAGAATACCTAACAGGGAGACAACAGCGAGTCATGGTCCGTGATGAGGTATCACAGTGGGCGCCGGTGACTAGCGGGGTCCCACAGGGGTCACTCCTGGGACCAGTGCTCTTCTTGGTATATGTGAACGACATGACGGAAAAAATAGACTCAGAAGTGTCAATGTTTGCAGATGACGTGAAGTTAATGAGGAGAATTAAATCAGACGAGGACCAGATAGGTCTACAAAGAGACCTGGACAGGCTGGATGCGTGGTCCAGAAACTGGCTCCTAGAATTTAACGCCGCCAAATTTAAAGTCATGAAGATCGGACGAGGGCAAAGAAGACCGCAGACAGAGTATAGGCTAGGAGGCCAAAGGCTGCAAACCTCATTCAAGGAGAAAGACCTAGGAGTGAGTATAATATCGAGTACATCGCCAGAAGCACACATTAACCAGATAACTTTTGCGGCATATGGGTGTTTGGCAAACCTGAGAATAGCGTTCCGGTACCTCAGTAAGGAATCGTTCAAGACTTTATACACTGTGTATGTCAGGCCCATACTGGAGTACGCAGCACCAGTTTGGAACCCACACCTGGTTAAACACGTCAAGAAATTAGAGAAAGTGCAAAGCTTTGCAACAAGGCTAGTTCCAGAGCTAAGGGGAATGTCCTATGAAGAAAGGTTAAGGGAAATAGGTGTGACACCACTGGAGGACAGGAGGGTCAGGGGAGACATGATAACGACATACAAAATACTGCGTGGAATAGACAAGGTAGACAGAGACAGGATGTTCCAGAGATGGGACACAGAAACAAGGGGTCACAATTGGAATCTGAAGACTCAGATGAGTCAAAGGGATGTTTGGGAGTATTTCTTCAGTCATAGAGTAGTTAGGAAGTGGAATAGTCTGGCAAGTGATGTAGTGGAGGCAGGAACTATACATAGTTTTAAGACGAGGTATGATAAAGCTCATGGAGCAGGGGGGGAGAGAGGACCTAGTAGCGGTCAGTGAAGAGGAGGGGCCAGGAGCTGAGTCTCGACCCCTGCAACCACAATTAGGTGAGAACGAACACACACACACACACACACACACACACATAATATATATATATATATATATAAATATATTTTATATATATATTATATATATAATATTATGTGTGTGTGTATGTGGGTGTGTGTGTATCGAAATGCCAGTCTGCCAAATTATATTTTACTACAATTATTTTTTACGGAATTTTCAGGGGTTAAAATAATATACATTTTTGAAAAGAAATTTGAAAAAAAATAGAACTTTTTATGGCATTTTAAATGTTGACTTCATAATTTTCGCCATTGAAAAATAATAAAAATTACTTATTTATTTAATGTAAAGCATAAGTTCATTTGATATTTTTTCTCGTTGTGATTATGATTTTTTAAGTGACGATGATGAGTTTCAGAATCATTAAGTTAATTACTGATCATAAGAGAATCGTCGTTATATTTTGTTATTTGTGTA